TATCTATAGTAGGTGCCAACTACATGGAACTTATCCCTGTGGTGGCCGAACTTTATCTACAACATGAGGGATAAACTTGTTTCAAAATTAAATGAGAATTTTATTTGATTTAAATAGGATTTAAAATTAAATATTATCTTTTATTTTCTGAAACCTTTATCTTAAAAGATAAGATAAAAATTTTCTATGACTCAAAGATGTACTCTATAAGTAGGAAGTTGTAGAAAATTAGAGAACACAATTTTTCTCCCTTCCCTTATGTGATAGGCGTGTAACATGTTAGTTAGAGGTTTGTAACATTCTGTCAGACAATGTGTAACATGCTAGTGACATGCATGTAATACGCCGTTGGTTAGCATGTAACCTATTAGAGATAGGCGTGTAACCTGAGAGAAAAAGAGAAGAAAAGTTCTTCTAAATTTCTAGTCACACGTCGTGTGTGTGTTGGTATTTATAGAAGACTTGAGTATTTTAAGTGCTAATCCTATTTTATTTCAGGTATGCCCACACACGCGTTTTCATAGATTTAAGAAATTGATGAGGAAGATTTGGGTATTCCAAACAAGCTTGGAGTGACGAACGTTCGTGGTTAAATAACTCAAATTATCGGCCTAATTGTTCGCTAGGTAAATTTATTCTTAAATTAATTTAATTATTTATTTGTGTATAAATTAATGTATTCTATAAGGTATCTCAAATGTTTAAAAATTTTATTGTTATACACGATCCACTAGATACACGTTTCCGCATAGAAAATTATTTTCAAATCAACAAGCGTCATTTTTTTTTGTCACTTTATGTATTTAATGTTTAATTTGTGGACTCTACTAACACACTATATTATAATTTAAACATAAAATGAAATAGTAAAATTTAAATGTCAAATAGTAAATATAGAAAATAAATAAAGAGAATGACAATAAACACGACGATAGGCATCACATTCGAATATTAAACACGACATAATGTGAGAGTTTGTAATCCAATACCACGAATGCCCTGTAATTTTTTATTATCAAAATTTTAATGAATATTTGAAGTAGAGAAGAGGAAGTCATAAATAGAATAATGTCATAGGTCTCGATTTTTATTTTACTTTTGCATTTTTTTAATTTTTAATCTTTTGTACTTTTAGTTAATCTTCACAGCATATCATGCCAACAAATCTATCAGAATAATAGATGAAAATAGACGAAGGGGGTTATTTGAATCATTTTTTATAAATTAATGGATGCTTTTAAGTTTTGAAAATTTTGGAGGTACTTTAAAAGAGAATCCATATTTTGAAGATATTTATGAAAATAATCATTAACTAATGAGCAAATTTGCTAACATTTTGAAGTTCTAGTAAGCAAACGTCAGATTTCCAACTTTGAGGGAAAAAAAACATTAAAAATTGGAATTTTTATACTTTTATATCATGTATTTTAATTTTATTTAAAATTTATACATTTAATTTTTTAATCTCATCAAATGTACATCTTTAAATTAAGTTTAATACACAAATTTATACCTTATTTCGGTCAACAATTGATTTTAATCTTTAAAATGACTAAACTATTCTTAAAAAAAAGAAAAAAACTAAACTTTCTAATATTACAAAGAATAAAAATTAAAAACACAAAAAAACCAATTTCAATAGTATTTTTCATATTTTTGAGGTCAAACCCTTAAGTTTATTTTTTTTATTAAAGTGTATTTTAGGCATTTTAAAGAATAAAGTCGATGGTTGACTATGAAATTGTATAGATTTGTGTATCAAATTTAATTTGAATGTATATATTTAGGCCTCGTTCACTTCGCTAATTCGAGTTTTTCTACAGTAAAAAGCCCTCACAAACAATCACATCTAACTTTTTTACTACAGTAAAAAGTTCTTACATAAAGTCACATCTCAACTCAAATTCTAAACTCGAATCAACGAAGTGAACGTGGCCTAATGAATTTAAAAACTGAATGTACAGTTTTGAATAAAGAGAAGGGGTACAAATATGTAAGTGTGGCAATTCGGATTGGCAGGGCGTGTTCGTGTCGTATTGTGTATCAAATTTAATTTAAATGTATACATTTAATGAATTTAAAAACTGAATGTACAGTTTTGAATAGAAGGGGTACAAATAATACGCCTTAGAGTGCATGAGTTTAAATTTTTACCATCACTCTTGATTAATATCCATATTTGTCAAAGAACTATATTAATAAAATAAGTATTAATAAAAAATAAATGATAAAACTCTAAACTCATATTTTAAGAATAAGTTCAACAATTTTTATAAATAAATTTAAAATACATGGTGTAAAAAGGTAAATATCCCACTAAAATTTAAAACAATAAAAACCAAAAAATAGAAAAAGAAAAGAATAACAAAACAAAACAAAAAATGTGCCGAAGAAATATAGACGACCAGTAGAATGGGGACAAATGGAGTGGAGTGAGTGGACTGTCAGAAGTCTCTGACACATCTCAAACCAAAGCACACCCCAACAAAGACTCAAAACAGACTAGAAAAAAAGTAACGGACGACACCCAACTAATAAACTTAACGGAACCAGTTCAATCCATTTGTTTGTTTGAATTTGAGATCAATTATTATAATTTCATTTATTTCATCGAATTGAGTTTTTAATTTTAGGTTTTTACAGTAAAAAATTTTTAAAAAATATCATATCTAATTTTTTTTATTATAATAAAAAACTCTCTAAAAATATTACATCTCAACTTGAATTGAAAACTCAAATGTACGAAGTAAAGGATGCCTATATTATGCTTTTTCTACGACGTCATTCTGTTTGACCAATCTTGTTGGAACTTGGAAGGGTGTACTGAGAGATTGCACGCATCTGATTATCACAATTTTTAAATTCAAACTTTCTTTCTCGTATCCCTCGCTCGTACCCAAACTGCCCACCTGCACGCAAGCGCGTGGCAGGCCTAATGCTACGGCCTGTGGAGCCCACGCCTTTTATTTGTTTGTCTATTGTTTGAAACATAAATTTTGAAACATTTCTATAATAATGATTTATAATTTTGTTCGATTAGTAAATTCGTACTCGAATTATGATTCGTTATTTATTATACATAAGTACCCAAACTGCCCACCTGCACGCAAGCGCGTGGCAGGCCTAATGCTACGGCCTGTGGAGCCCACGCCTTTTATTTGTTTGTCTATTTGTTTGAAACATAAATTTTGAAACATTTCTATAATAATGATTTATAATTTTGTTCTATTAGTAGATTCGTACTCGAATTATGATTCGTTATTTATTATACATAAATTAAAATAATTTTAAATTATAATTTTAAATTTATAAATTAAATATCCATTTTAACGTATTTATTTTTCTCTTTTTCAAGGGAAAAAATTCAATATTAATGCCCTTTTAGGCTTTTTTTTTATAAAAAAAAATCCTATGTGAAGGTGAAAGAATTATTAAAATAATCTACATTTGAATCTCCCGCTTTTTTCATTAAATTGAATATTGTCTTATAGTAAATAGTAAACGATTTGAGATAATATATTGTACGTTTTTTAAATTTTTTAAATTTTGTCGTGATTTAATGAAGATCTACACTATTCTCGAGATAATGTTGGTGTTTAATGAAGATCTTGTAGAATTTCATGTTTCATAAATAAAAGGTTATATCACAAATTGTTTGATGAAGAGAAGTTCTATTGAAAAAAAAAACAGAGAGAAGTTTTATTTCACAAATTGTGGTCATTGTGACAAGAAGACATGGGTCAAAGTTCAGTTGAGCAAAATCTTGGAGGCTTTTATAATATATCTTTATTGTGGAAGCATGTCTTTAAAATTCCTCAAAAATTCGTTTTATTTTAAGTAGAAAATACTAATTCGTTCTATTAAACAGATATAAACCCTGCTTTCTTAAATATAACTCTACTCATTAGTTACCAGTTTTCTTTTAAAAAATAAAATAAGTGGAAAAAGGTGAGGACTTTACAAACAAAATTATTGTTTGTATTCATTCATAGGTCTGAAATCTAAATTTCCAAATTATTGAGTGCATCCCAATTTTGTTTGCTTGTTATTTTTTTTGTTTGGTTATTTTTAGCTATTTTCAATAATTTCCTCACTCCTTACATTTTTAATATTTGCCCATGTAAAGCATATCCTCCAAGCTTCTTTTTGGACGCATGGAATCTCTCTCTCTCTTCTCTCATGTGGGACTTGGGACTCCCAAGTTGGGAGCATGAAAGCATCTCTTTTTGTGTCTTCATTTTTTTTTTTTTTTCGGTTTTCTCAAAGAATTGAAAATAAAAATAAAACACTAGCATGTAAGTAATCAGTATCGGACCCAATACTCATTCAAATTAATGGTCCATTGATCTAACGACCAAGATTCCATCTTTCCTATAATTATATATAATATATATCTATATATAGGGTCCGTTTGTTAACTTTTTTAAAATAATTTTATTTTTAATATAAAAGTAAAAATAAGATTGTTTTGAAAATTATTTTAGTATCGATTCCGAAAGTGCGTTTAGTTGATTTTTTAAAAGATTGTTTTAAATATAATAAAAAAATAAAATTGAGTTTGGTTATAATTATTACTTATTATATTATAACGTTATTAATAAGTACTAGATAATGAAAAATAAAAAAAATAATTTTTAATTAATTTTTAATTTCTTTACAAAAATCATTTAGTATTGTTTTTTATTTTCATTTTCGTTTTTAAAATACTAAATTAATACGATTTGTATACCGTTTTCATTTTCGTACTTGATGTGCAAAAATATTTTAAAAAATAATTAAAATCAATTCTAAACACATATATTTCGTTCATTTCATCAATTTAAGTTTAAAATTTGAGTTTTATTACAGTAAATTTTTTTTAAAAATAATTACATTTAACTAAACACATATATTTCATAGAAAATTAAATATTAACTCAAATTAAAAATTTAAATTACTGACTTCGTATTTCTACCGTTTTCAGTTTCACGCTCTTTAGTAAATTATTATATTATTTTCCATCCTACTAACTCTGTCATACACACACACAGAGGACTCAGCACTCAGCAAGGCGAATTCTCTGCAACTCTTCTGTCTCTTCCTCTTCCTCTTCCTCCCCATCTTGTCCACCCCCAAGAGACAAAGAAACCTCCTCTCTGCTTCTTTTCTCTGTAATAACCACCACAACCACATAACAAAAAAAAAAAAAGAGGAGTGAAGAAAAAAATACTCCGTAGTAAAACACATAACCAAAAGCCAGATTTCTGCCGTTTTGAGCCAAAACCGGACATGGGTTTTTCTGCATTCCTCTTCTTCTTTCTCATCTTCATCGGAAACCCAAAATGGGTTTGCGGAAACTCAGAGCTCGTAGCTTTAATGGATATCAAAGCCAGTTTGGACCCAGAAAGTCTCTACCTTTCTTCATGGACCTTTAATGGCGACCCTTGTGATGGTTCCTTCGAAGGCGTGGCATGCAACGGGATGGGACACGTGGCGAACATTTCTCTGCAAGGGAAAGGTCTCTCTGGGAAGCTCTCGCCGGCCATTGCTGAGCTGAAGCACTTGACGGGGCTTTATCTCCACTACAACTCTTTGTATGGGGAGATACCGAGAGAGATTGCTAATTTGACTGATCTCGGTGACTTGTACTTGAATGTCAATAATCTCACTGGTGAGATTCCTCCTGAGATTGGAACCACGGTCAACTTGCAAGGTTAGTACTTTGTAGTTATTTCATACAGTTGATCTTTGATGAAAAGTTTGAGGCTTTGTGCTGTACTTTTTCTTCTCACTTTAGTCCTCTTCCTTTGTGTGTTTTTGCTTAGCTTTTGAGCTTATTGGTAGTTTTTTCATGGTTTTATTCTTATGTTCCATCCAAAGATTTGAATTTTTTTCATCACTTATATGTTTCTCATTTAAATAAATCTAGTTGAACTAGAGAGTTTCTTTTCTTTTTGTTTTGTTTTGTTTTTTTTTTGGAAATCAGCAAATAAAACTATTGATCCACGTAAAGTTTGGATCTTTATCTGAAGATTAGAATGCATTGCAAGTGATTGAAGCTTCTCTCTCTCTCTCTCTCTCTTGCTATAAGCTTTTTTGAACTTTTCTGGGATTACCTTAATGTGGTTGTGGGTATAGTTTCAGAAAAGTTGGATATGGAACTGCATATAGATGGGACAAGTGCTAATATTTAGTTTTGTGCATTTGTTCAATAGTTTTGCAGCTTTGTTATAATCAGCTGATCGGAAGCATACCTACTCAACTGGGGTCTCTAAAGAAACTCACTGTACTTGCTTTGCAATCTAATCAACTAACTGGGGCTATACCGGCAAGTTTGGGAGATTTGGAAATGCTAATGAGAGTAGATTTGAGTTTCAATCACCTCTTTGGTTCGATTCCCACCAAACTAGCTGATACCCCATTGCTAGAAATTCTAGACATTCGAAACAACACTCTCTCTGGCAGTGTACCCCTTGGTAATTAATGCCAGTTTCAGACCCTCCTCTTTAAGATTTTGTGTTTATCTTAATGATGTGGTGCTAATCCTTTTTTTTTTTTCTTTCTTGATGCAGCATTGAAGAAACTTAATGAGGGATTTGCTTATCAAAACAACCTTGGATTGTGCGGAGTTGGGTTTGCATCCTTGAACCCTTGCAACTTTTCGGTTCACGTCGATCCAAGCAGGCCTGAGCCTTATGGATCAGGTGCAAATGGCATTTCGACGAGAAATATCCCGGAGACTGCAAACGTTAACTTGCCTTGCAGGCAAACTGGGTGTGCAAATGCGGCGAAATCCCATCAGGCTTCTGTTGTTGTTGGCACTATTGCAGTAACTATTGCATTGCTGGCGATCGGAATCCTGTCTTTCACACAATATCGCCGTCGGAAGCAGAAGCTTGGGACATCGTTTGATGTCTCCGATGCCCGTCTTAGCACTGACCAGGCTAAGGGGGTCACCAGGAAAAATGGCTCTCCTCTTATTAGCCTCGAGTATGCCAATGGCTGGGACCCTTTGGCTGATGGAAGGAACTTAAGCGCGTTCGCGCAAGAAGTGTTCCACAGCTTTCGGTTCAATCTGGAAGAGATTGAGACCGCCACACACTACTTCTCGGAGGTGAATTTGTTGGGCAAGAGCAACTTCTCCGCCACTTACAAAGGGATACTGAGAGATGGATCTGTTGTTGCCATAAAGGGCATTGGTAAAACATGCTGTAAGTCGGAGGAAGCTGAGTTCTTGAAGGGGTTGAACATTTTGACCTCACTGAGGCATGAAAATCTGGTGAGGCTTAGAGGATTTTGTTGCTCAAGAGGTAGAGGAGAGTGCTATCTCGTCTATGATTTTGTCCCGAACGGGAATCTGTTGCAATATCTCGATGTGAAGGATGGTGATGGCCAAGTCCTTGAATGGTCAACTAGAGTTTCAATTGTCAAGGGCATTGCTAAAGGTCAGTTCTTTAACATTTGAATGCTTTTGAAATGGTTCACACTATTAATGAGATGTGAAAAAATTAAACATCTCGATGTGGATTACAAAAAAAATGGAGAAGTTGTTTCCAGTTCACTTTGATATCTAGTTTTTCGGGTTTAAGTACTTATAGTCGCCTTTGTTCTTGTTTCTCTTGCAGGTGTGGCATATCTACACGCCTACAAGCCAAACAAGCCTGCTCTTGTGCACCAAAACATCTCAGCCGAGAAGGTTCTCATTGACCAGCGGTTCAACCCGCTGCTCTCGGATTCTGGCCTGCACAAGCTTCTCACCAATGATGTCGTCTTCTCGGCGCTCAAGTCCACTGCCGCCATGGGCTACTTGGCCCCAGAGTACACCACCACTGGCCGGTTCACTGACAAAAGTGACGTTTATGCATTCGGGGTGCTTGTTTTCCAAATCCTCTCGGGGAAACGGAGAGTCACAAGCCCAGCCCGTCTTGGCGCTGACTCTGGCAGATTCCACAACTACATTGATCCCAACCTCCACGGCCGGTTCTTCGAATACGAAGCAGCAAAGCTCACAAAGATTGCTTTGCTTTGTACTCATGAATCTCCTCTTGAGAGGCCATCCATGGAATCAGTAGTTCAGGAGTTGAGTAACTTCAGTAGCTGTCTCTGATTCAAAAAGAAAGGAAAGCCTCTTTCTTATCTTTTGGTCATTACCTGATAAATTCTCGTTTGGTAATGGCAAAATATCAAGAGAATTATCACTAACTGCTCACTTGGTAATGGTATAAATCTAGAACCGAATTGCTTTTTTAGTGTTTTGATCAAGTCCTTTTCGTTGGGACTAATTAGCCTTGTTGTGAAAGTTCTACATGCTGGTTTCCATTTGTGGAAATGGATATATATTGTTGGGGGATTTTCTCTTGTAATCACCATGTATTTATTGTGATATTTGGTTTGTAGAAAGGTGAAAATTTTTCCTCCATGAATGAAACTTCTAACCTTTTTAAAGTATTTTTTCCTGTTACTTTCTAATTATTAGAAATTTGCATGATTAAAGGAAGTACAAACATTGGTCCATTGTTTTTAGTAGAAAAACAATGGTTTTTTCGTTTGTACGAATTTTGAATGGAGCTCAGGGTTTTCTTGAAATTATTGGGCGATGTCATTGATGACACACGATAAATGTTACAGAAGATTGTACAGATTGTCTTCTCCTTTGGTGGCAAATGGGGATTCAAATTTTGCTCGCTCGCTTTCCTAAGACCCTTGAATTGTGTGTTGGGCCCAAAAATAAAAAAATATATATTTAAAGCCTGTTTAATTCATTTTTAATTTACGAGATGTGATTTTATATAAAAATTTTTTATTATAGTAAAAAAAATTAAATGTGAATATTTTTTAGAGATTTTTACTGTAATAAAATTTGAATTAATAAAATGAATTAGACATTATTTTTATTTATTTGCTTTCAAAAAAAAATATTATTTTTATTTTAAAGTTAAATTAATATTAAATAATTAGTAAAAAAAAATTATTTTTATTTTTTTCCTTTTTATTATATCAAACAACTTTTAAAAAAAAAAACTTCCCTTCTCTTCTATTTTCTTTTTTTTATGTATTTTTTTTTCATTCTCCTTTTTATCCCTCTTATCAAACGAAGAGTGAAAGAGAGTGAAAGAGACGTCACAAGGCCATGTGCGCTCTCATGTACTGGGCGAATATGAAGGTAAATATGTCATTTTAATTAGGATTTCTTTTAATTTAGAAAGTCAAGGTCGATTGAGAGTGTGATGAAGGTAGAGTGACCATTCTCTCTTCACTTTCTTCCCGAATTGATCTGGGATTTTCAACCACAATCACACATAGGTTGTCTTCAACTTGTTTCACTTGCATATTTCTTTGAACTTAGCATTTTTTCGTACGAATCCAGCTTACTGAAATCTTCTTGAAATCCATGATTTTAAGGTTTGTTTAGTTCGCTGATTTGAGTTTTTAATTCGAATTAAGATATAACTTTATGTGAGAAATTTTTACTGTAGCAAAAAAGTTAGATATGACTGTTTCTGAGAGTTTTTTACTGTAACAAAACTCGAATCGGTAAAATAAACGAGGCCTAAAAACTTGAGTTGTGATTGGGATGCCTATATTTAAACCATATGAGAGAAAAAAATATTGGAAATTTACCATCTATGTTTTTCTTCATATCAGGGGGACGAAAAGCGGCGTTAAAATTTTCAACTATCCTTCACTTGAGCTCACATGGTCTTTTTTCGTCTCCTTTTGTTAGGAAATGAAACAAAGGGACAAAATGGAATGAAATAAATATTTAGAATAATACGGTGAGAATTTTTAAAATTTAAAGTGCAAAGTTAAAATGACTCAAAAAATTATGAGTATTAGTGAGAACAATCCAAAATATAACTAAGCAACCCCATTTAAATTGTTCATCTATGCAATACAAATCCTTTACAAAAAAAAATGTTTGTCAACTCGTTCGCGAGTTTTATAAAAAAAACAAAAAAACAAAACTCGTTCACTATATATATATTTTTTAAATGGCTCACTATCATCGTATAACAAATGATAAGTTTTGTGTCTTTAAAGCAAATGTCTGCATCACATGCAGTAGACAACCCAACCACTAAGAAAAGATTGATTATGAAGCCTCATTTGGAGTCATTATAAACGTACAACAAAAGTTGCATGTATAACAGAAAAGAAAAGAATTAAAAACAAAAAATAAAATGATGCTACCAGACAACAATTAACTTCAAGCAAAGTTGAAAAAGTCTTATTAGATCAATGCTAATAAAATCCCAGCAATATCATGGCATATATTTGTACAAATAATCATAGAAAAACATGAAATAATAATCAACTAATATTTGTCGCCCAACCTCGGCGAAATATAAACGAAAGAGAAGTTTAGAGAAGTTTTGCAATAATAAATGATAGCAAATTCATTGATCCATAACATTTTTCAAATCAACTACTATTGACGTTTTCATTAGTTATTATTTGAAGCAAAGAAGAATTCTTTCCTAGGTGGTTAAAATTATGGGGAAACAAAAAATAAAAATGCTTGTGAAACGAAGTAATAATGTACCACACCAATAAACGAAGAAATAAATGACAATGTCGATTCTCACTCTAATAAAACGGCCGTCGCTTTATCTTGAAAACAAAGTGCCGTTTTCCAGTCGAATATGTCGGCAGTCTCCGATAGCAAAAAAAAAAATTAAAGATGGTGTGTGTGTGTGTGTATATATATATATATATATTATTGGAGAATATTGGAGAAAGTTGGAGAGAGAAATTCATTTCTCATTCATCTTTCTCCAATATTTTTTAATATGGTATTAGAACAGACCCAGTTTTATAATTTTGAGTCTCTTAATATTGACTTATTCGCAGATGTTTGGTATGATCCACGTTGTGCGTGAGGGGACTTATTAGAATCCCACATTGACTGGAGATATTGGCATGATCCACTTAATAAAGTGAGGACAATCCTCTATTAACAAACTAATTTTGTTAAGTTGAATTAGGAACATTTTATTAAGTACGAAGGACATGTCTTATTTTATCAAGTACTACAAACAAATACGTTTTACGAAACTATGGGGTTATTCTTTTGTAACGAAATTCAAAAAAAGTTTGAACTAGAGTTACAATTTTATTCAAGTTCATGTTCTTTTGTAAAATTTGAGTTTGAACTCGAGTTTGGGACTAAACTCGAGTTCAAGTTTTCCCTTCAACTTGAGTTCATAAACTCAAACTCAAGTTATTGAACAATAATTTTTCTATTCTTAAAAGTGCCATAACTTTTTCGTTTTAATTCTGATTGAGATGATTTTTTTCTATGCATTCACAATGAAAAGACGAATAAAACCTCACCCATATACTCTACTAAAATTTTGCATCACCATTGAGTTTTTATTAAAATACTATCTAAATACAAATTTAAGTTTGACCTACCCAAACATATACTCAAAAAGATTCTCAATTCAAATCATAACTCAAATGTGTACATCCAAACAAACTCAAGTTACAATTTCAACTCAAGTTATAACTTAAACTCAACTTAAAATTATCACTCAAATCACTTTAATTCAAAAATGCATATATATATATATATATTATTGGAGAATATGGGAGAAAGTTGGAGAGAGAAGATTCATTTCTCACTCATCTTTCTCCAATATTTTCTATATGGTATTAGAACAGACCCAGTTTTATAATATTGAGTCTCTTAATATTGACTTATTCGCAGATGTTTGGTATGATCCACACTGTGCGTGAGGGGACTTATTAGAATCCCACATTGACTGGAGATATTGGCATGATCCACTTAATAAAGTGAGGACAATCCTCTATTAACAAACTAATTTTGTTAAGTTGAATTAGGAACATTTTATTAAGTACGAAGGACATGTCTTATTTTATCAAGTACTACAAACAAATACGTTTTACGAAACTATGGGGTTATTCTTTTGTAACGAAATTCAAAAAAAGTTTGAACTAGAGTTACAATTTTATTCAAGTTCATGTTCTTTTGTAAAATTTGAGTTTGAACTCGAGTTTGGGACTAAACTCGAGTTCAAGTTTTCCCTTCAACTTGAGTTCATAAACTCAAACTCAAGTTATTGAACAATAATTTTTCTATTCTTAAAAGTGCCATAACTTTTTCGTTTTAATTCTGATTGAGATGATTTTTTTCTATGCATTCACAATGAAAAGACGAATAAAACCTCACCCATATACTCTACTAAAATTTTGCATCACCATTGAGTTTTTATTAAAATACTATCTAAATACAAATTTAAGTTTGACCTACCCAAACATATACTCAAAAAGATTCTCAATTCAAATCATAACTCAAATGTGCACATCCAAACAAACTCAAGTTACAATTTCAACTCAAGTTATAACTTAAACTCAACTTAAGATTATCACTCAAATCACTTTAATTCAAAAATGTAAAAGAACAACCCGTATGTCGTTTTATCTGTCAATTTTTAGATATAGCATATCCTAATGCTAATAAAATAAGTGATTAAATGAATAATGATCTCTAAAGACTCTACTCTCTCTAAATAGTAAAATTAAACAACATTCATACTTCCATAATAAACTGAATAAAATTTCCTCGGAAAACAAAAAAATAAGAAACTATAATTAGCAACGAAAATCGTAAAAATTTACACATAACATCATTGATTCTTCACCTCAAATATCTATAATCTGAAATAACTCAATAAAAAGAATGCTAAACCAGCCTACCATAAATTTATTTTCCCAACTATCTAAGATGCTTTAATACAAATAAGATAAGTTTCCATATCCAGAAAATGGAGGCAAATGCATCAACTTTACAGAATTAATTCAACCACTAAAATATTGAATTTGGAATCATTGCAAACGTGCAGCCGAAGTTCTCAAAATAACAGGAAAAAGAAGAAAACAAAGGCAAAAACAAAACGGGAAAAATGATGCTGCATAACAACTAGAAAAGAAGAAAGTTGAAAGCAAAGAGAAAAATCTTATTAAGATGAAAATTTCAAAATCCCATTATTATAAAGGCTTCTATTTGTATCTATAATCATAGTCAAAACGTAAAATTATTATAAAGGCTTCTATTTGCATCTATAATCATAGTCAAACGTAAAAGTGTGTTCGTGTTTGTGCTTACAATTCAGTGTCAAAGTCTTTGAAATCTATTTTACTTCAAAATTGGTAATAGTTGTTCAAAACGCGGTTTCAACCAAAACATAAAAATAAAAAACACAAAAAAAAAAAAGAAAGTGACGATTTTCCTTTTTCGTTTTCGTTTTCTTTTTTAATCTTTGACGAACGTTTCTAAAGTGTTTTCTAGTTTTACCTGGTCCTTTGGTTGGGTTTCTTCCTCTCACTTTCCTGCTTCATTGGCTAAGCTTCTCGGCGCTGTCATAAACCGTTGAGCCTCATCAGCGAACTACAAGTGTCTGTCTTAC